AAACACTGCCAGGCTGGAAGAAGCAATTTATTCTTTTTCTGCTGTTCTGTTCTCCATATGGTGGCAAGTGGATCAGCAGGAAGGAGTCCTGGCAGTGTCTACCACAGTGGCCACACCCCTCCAGCTTCAGTGGTGACTGCCCCTACCCCTAGAGGTGGGTTTGAGGGTGGGCATCTTTCCACCTACCTTCTCCTTTACCACAGTGAAGGGGCAGCCTGTTTCTATGTCTTCCACCCTGTCCTCAGAGGTCTCAGTGTCTACCTTGTAGGGCCTTCCTCTAAATGTCTAAATTCCTTCCCTGTTCACTTTTCCTCAGTCCCAGGCTGGTGGCTGCCCCCTGCAGTAGCTATATCTGTTAGACCTTAGAGTTTCCTTCTAGCATTAACCACTACTTACCTCCTTAATGACTCCTTGTGTTAAATTTTCCCTGTTCACATTACTAGTGCGGTTTCTGACCAGGAAAGAGAGATCTGGAACAAACTCCACCAGGTGGAAACACTCCTTATTAATCATATAACTGTTCTTATTAATCTCTGTCTTTGTGAAATGTAAATATTGGGTGAGCCAATAAGGAAGCAAATCACTTAGTGTGTATTGTACTCTGTGATACTGACCAATTAACAAAGATCATCACACTCCCAAAGGTCAGAATAAATGGGGCACTGGTGATTGAGCCAAAAATTAAGTAATTTCCCCTTCTACATTCCCCTTTATCTTTAAGCACGTCTTTGCATGCCTTTGTTCTTGGAAAATCACTTAAATGGTCCGTTTAGCTATTTAGTTACACAAATGTAAAGTAAAGGACCAATGCAGAAATCAAGCCATTTGCCAGCAGTAATTTTAAGGAGCTAAACCACTCTGTACAATAGTGCAAAGGTTCTTTGCATTGCAGGCAGAGTTGGTTCATTTGGACTTTTTTTTTTTTTGGAGAAATGTTTGTTTTTTAAGTAGGAAGTTAAGCCGTGATGTGCCCAGAGTGTTACTTACTCTTATGGCAGTATGCTTGTGTTTAAGGCATTGTTGAGCACTAACGAGGCTTGGTGCACTCACCTCTTGACTTCGCAAAGAGGTAAATATGTACAAAAGAGCTAGGCAATGCTGGGTCAAGTGAAACCTGGACCGCACTATTGGTCTTTCACACAGTATTACTTAAGGCTGAATAAATAAGACTTTAGGAACGATAATGACACTGAATTATTGTGTCATGATGAGATTGTTCTATTGGTTCCCAGGACAAACATCCTAGTTGGTAGGCGGTGAGGTCTCCCCTCCCCACAAGTCAGTGGATATTCTCATTTCCAACCATCCTGGAAAGAGGCAGACGGTGGGACAGAAGGGCCTGAGAGCTGGAGAGCTCTTTCCTCTACGTAGGCCCACTTTCACAGAACCCGACTTCAAGTAGCAGAGTGGAGTGCACCTGAGTGCATGTCTAAGAGGTAGAATTCTGAAAAAGCTAGTGTTTTTCACAGGATGCAAGGGATGGACTACAAAGCAAAGAATAATTTGGTGATGAAAATCCCCTTCAGTCTGTGGATAATAACAGCTAATATTTATATTACATTTACGGTATTATAGATAATTATAGCATACTATATATAATACATTATAGGAATTATACTGTAACGATATTACACTAAGAACTTGCTTTTATATTATACTAAGCACTTGATTAAGTGTTTAATCATTTATCCTGACAACAAAGCCATAGGTAAATGTTATTATTGTCTCATTATCTCCATGTTACAGTGGTCATATCTAGCATCCTGCGCAAATTTTGGTAATCTAAACTATGCTCCAATAAATTAAAAGGATGAGTCTATGTCCATGTTTGGACCAGTGTGGTCATGGAGGGCACAGAATTCTTCCCCTAGCGGGGGCCCCCTAACCACTAGAACATGAGAGTAGCAATTGATTTCAAAACAACCCAAAGTGACTACTAGCTGACATAGAAGGAGTTCTAAGCAAAGAGATTCAAATTTGGACCCACATAATCTAGAAGACAGTTGGAGGTACGGATTGCATGCTGATTGACTCCAGAGCACCTATGAGAAAAACTCTTCCTTTGACTTCAGAATAAACTACTAGAGAGAAGGGAACTATGAAAGGGATGGGGAAGGAGAAAGGGCCTGTTACCCGAAGGTGGGCAGGTGGGGTCTCTCCAGCTAGCTGATGTTAAGAGGCCATGACTGTTGACAATCTGTGCGTCTCTCACTGGTATATTGAATATTCGGCCTGGCCCACTGCCATATAAATGGATGCTCTGCATGTAATGAATTAAACACTTAAGTCTTATCAGAATACACTTGACTATTGTCTTCACTGATTTCATATCCATGCCCAAGTGTAGAGTTGGGAAGCAATACTGTACCACGGCAGGAGCACATGCCTTGCTCTCAGGAGACCTGAGTTTTCTTCATTTTACGCCTTTAATTCATTGTATGACCTTGGGCAAATCATGCAATTCTTCTAGGAGTCTTCTTTTTCACCTGCAAAATGAAGGAGTTCATCTGCCTTACAAACATCTCTTCCAGTTATGGGATTTCTTCCCACTAATTCTGACTGATAGCAGACCATCACTCAACTGAATGTACAAAAAATGTTAAAGCTACATTACAGTGAAGATAAGATTCTTGATGTCAATTTGGTGAAATACTGCAGGATAAATTCCAATAACTCTTAATATCAGCTCAGTAATTTAACACATTTCTAGAAAAAAATTAAGTAGCTCAACTCAATTTATTATAATCTGCATTCAAGTTCTCATCACTTTCTAAATGTCTGCATTTCCTATCACACTTAACTGAACTGGCTATCAATTAATCCTTTCTGTTGATAGGCCAGATTAACAAATACTTTTTTCTGACTACAGAAGTATTAAGTGGGGGCTGGCCCCATGGCCGAGTGGTTAAATTCATGCACTCCGCTTCAGTAGCCCAGGGTTTTGCCAGTTGGGATCCTGGGCACAGATCTAGCACCACTCATCAAGCCATGCTGAGGCAGTGTGCTACATGCCACAACTAGAAGGACCCACAACTAAAATATACAACTACATACTAGGGGTCTTTGGGGAGAAGGAAAAATTTAAAAATTAAACAAAAAATTTTTTTAAAAAGTATTAAAGGATCATTGTAAAAAAAATTGAGAAAACAGAGAAGTATAAGAAAAAAATCTCCCCAAATCCACATCTTGAGATAATTACTGTTAATATTTTGATATTTACCATCTAGCCTTTATTTTCTCCTAGGAATATGTGTAAGAAAAATGTATATGTATATGTAAGAATGTAGATGCTTTGTTTTAAACATGATTTGGAACACATAATGTATATAATTTTCTACCTGATTTTTTTCACACAACATTATTCAGCAGCATTTTGCTGTTATTAAAGTTTTTTCAAAAAACATTTCTGATGGTTATATAATATTTATAAGAATATAGCAGCAAATTTAACCATCCTTCAATTTTTGAGCATTTAGTTTGTTTCTGACTCTTGATAAATATTTTCAAATGACTTTTCAGAATGAGTTTCTCCCCAACAGTTCAGAATAGAATTTCACTGGACCCTTGCACTGGTTCCAAGCAAAGACTGAACATTTCATTGGTAAATTTTTGTCAATCTGACAAGTGAACGACTTCTCGTTGTGTTTTAATTTGCATTGTTTTGATTCATAAAGTCAATTTTTTAATCATTTGTATTGATTCTGAGGATTATTCATATCCTTAACTCAGATCAGATTTACTTTTAATAAAGGTTTATAAGAATGCCTAAAAGAAAATGTCCATCAAGTGTGTACAGTTGCATTTTTTTAAATTAAGCTTTTTCTTTTGAGATAATAGTGTCAAATGCAGTTGTAAAAAATAATATAGAGAAGTCACCATATGTACCCTTTACCCAGTTTCCCCCAATGATACCATCTAGCAAAACTATGTGCAATATCACAAACAGGATATTGACATTGATACAACCAAGATAACAGGTTTCCCATCACCAAAAGGATCCATCCCCCACTCCCTGACCCCTGGCAACCACATGATCTGTCATTTCTGGATATAATTTTGTCATTTCTAGAATGTTATATAAATGGAATTATACAATATGTTAGCTTTTCCATTCAGTATAATTTCCTGCAGATTCATTTAAGGCGAGTGTGGATAGTATGTATGTTTTTTTTGTTGCTGAATAGTGTTCCATAGGATGAATATCCACAGGATTCTTTAAAAGTTATAGTTGAATTTTAAAGACCATTTTATGAATATATTTGCCTAATTCCAGGGGCTCAAAGGGGGAAAGGAAACAAAGTCATTATTCAGGAAGTCATTCAGTCATTCCACCAACATTCAGGTTGCAGGCTACTGGGCCAAAAGTATCCCTACGCACTTGATTACAAAAATGACTAACAGCCAAATAAGGTCAAAATTACCTAAGTAGCAGTGCTAAGATTGAAACCCAGGTCGGTCTAGATTTCAGGAAGCAAGAAAATGAGTAGCCCAATGAACACTTTATCGTTAACAATTTTCTAAAATGTAACAATTTTCCTAGGTTAAGGAACACAGGCTAAAGATGGACATATCTGGTTAGTAAACCAAAGCATCCCATCTACCTACTGGACTAGGCGTTTACTAATCCACGCCTTATACCTGATTTTAAGGCCAACTACACACAAAAAACGAGATTTACAGGAGCGCTTGAGGAGGGCGCCGAAGACCAAGACGCGTCAGAGTAGCTCTCTCCTCCATCTGCCACGGTTCTGGGCAGCGCGCTTGGACTGGTAATGCTGGTGTCCCTGAAAAACCCTAGCCGTCTCATTTCTTCTGGACCTCAACCCCCCCATCCTAAATTATCTGAAGATACGACTTTAAGCAAAACAAAATGAGGCCAGTAGGGCACCATTAATAAGTCTCCCTACAACACTGACAGTTTGGGGATTGAAACGCAAACTAGAAGCCGGAGGAGAACAAATTCTCGGTGCGTTCAAAACAACTTCCATCGGTCCCTGACTCTATCTGCCACTTAGGTGCCGTATTAACGAAATCCAAGCGCACGCCGCCCAGAGAGCGCCCTTCACACCCGATGACTCCCGGCCCGGGGCTCCAGGTGAGCCGCTCACAAGCCTCCGGTACGGGCTCGAAGGCTGAGCCCTGACGGTGCGACACCAGTGACGCTCGGGACACAGCGGCACGAACTGCAAGGAGAAAAGGAGATTTCCCAGCCGGGTCAAGGTCCAACAAAACACACGCCCACTCCCGGGAAGCATCCCGCTGCAGGGACCGGGGCTGACCCCGCAGCTGGCGGAAGTGACGTCAGGTCCAGTCGCCGGAGGAGGCGGGGCCGCCGGGGGCGCGCCCTATGGGGGCCCGGGAGAGGCGGGGGTGTGGCGGCGTCGGCGGCGAGGCGCCGGCCGGGTGCGCGGGAGGGCGGGGCCTGTGCGCGCCACCTGCGGGGACTGGCCTCCTCCGGCGGCTGGAGGCGGTCACTGGCGTCGGGCTGAGCGGCTGAGGGGAGCGAGGGGCCATGCGGACGGCGAGGGATTCGGGAGCCCGCAGCCTGGCGCGCTTCCGTCGCGCGGCGGCGACCCTGCGGCCGCTGGAGTAACCACTGCCTTTGTTCCGACGCCGGTCCCTCCCGGCGCCCCAGCCCCTCACGCCGCCGCGCTCCGGCCGGCCCGCCCTCGGTGCCCGAACCCCCCTTCGGCTGGTGCCGCGCGAATGCGGCTGCCGGGCCTGGGCCTGGGCTCGGAGCGGGAGGAGAGGAGGGGGAGCGGCGGCGCCCGGGCGGCATGCGATGGGGAACTGCTGCTGGACGCAGTGCTTCGGGCTGCTCCGCAAGGAAGCGGGGCGGCTGCAGCGTGTGGCAGGCGGCGGCGGGTAAGCCCCCGGGGGAGGGCCCGGCTCCCGCTCGCTCCTCCTCCCCGGCCCCCGGCGGCTTGGGGGGCTGCATGGGGGCCGGGCAGGTGGTCGTGGTGGAGGCCCGTGTCGGGACGGGCCGCCCCGGGAGAGAGCTAGAGAAGGGGGCGGGGTGCGGCTCCCGCCAGGCTCCCCGGGGCGCGCTGTCACGCGGGGAAGAGTCACGGGAGGCCTCATCGCCAGGAAGCCTGGGCACCCTCCCACGGACGGGCCGTGGAACAGGCTCCACGGCAACCCGGACACACCCTGCGCGGAGCTGGGGTTTCATGCCAAGGGTGGTAGCTCCCTGTTTGGTCCTCTCTGGCTCTGACAGCAGGTGAGAATCTGGCTCCAAAAAGTTGATGCCTCAGAGCCATTTCTCGTAGTCGTTTGAATGCTGGAGTAAAATAAGGTTTCAGACATTTGAGTGACTCTTTGATATGTACAAAGACGTGCCGAATTACAGGGTTTCCAGTGGGCATTCGGATTCTTGGTACTGATAACAAGAGGGGCAGTGTGTAGCTTTGTAATATTAATTTTTTGGAATTTCGAGAGGAATGCGCTACCCTGATTGCTACCCACAAGCTTTGTAATATGAGGGAAATCACAGTCCTTCCGAACCTCCCTTCTGTTGGTTAAAACTGGGATATGCATAAGTTTTTCTACTCAGACCAGCCATAGAATAGTACAATTTAATAATTATTCCGTTTTTGTGTTTTTTATTTCATAGGGTATTGAAAGAATTAGAACACATCCTTTTGAAGTTGGCTTTGTTGTTGTTAGATATTTCCCAAGAATTCAGACTTAGAATTGGAAATCTGAACCAAGCCACTTTATGTAAGGAATAAGACATTAATTTTGCACTTTCTGAAACAGCTGCTAAGTTTTCAGAAAGTGTCTTCTTTAACCATTATTAGGTAATAAGGTGTTCAGCCTACACAAATTGAAGCCAAGTGATTTGTAATTTGGATTTTTTGGTGATGCAGATCTTACAATATATATGACTCACTCATTCGTCATCGGGTATTGTGTCACCTCTCTGATACAGAGTAGGTGAGGTTGTACCCTAAGTGTCCCTCCAATGAAAAAGTAAAGACTTCAAGATTTTGTCCCTAGTTTAGTATTTTGGTTTCCCTGACTTAAGGGCTGCTACAGGCAAACCTGGCAGCTGTTTTATCTTGTCAACCAGAGTCATCTAATTTACTTCTAATTTTTCTGTATGGATGCACCCATGTAATCAAGCGGCTTAAATAGGCTCTCCTAAGGACTAGATGCCACAAAATCTTTGGCGTTGTTAATATTTCATTTGTAGTTGGTGAGTGTTAAATTCTAACTCTAAAAATAGGGTCCCATACTCTAACTGGGTAAGCAAAAATCATTTATGTTTGACTTTAAACCTCATTGTGTGGCGTCTGTGGGATTTTTGTTTTGTTCTTTTAGGGTGACTTTACAAATTATGTTTTCCTTATAGTGTTAAAATTGTAGATTTTACTTTCTGCAGCATAGAGAAGGGACAGGGGAAATCAGTGAGTCACTGTGAGTGTTAAATGTCTTTAGATAGGCCATAAAAACATCATGGTTGGATCTGTATCTTCTGGTTGTGGACAAAACTTGAACAGACGAGTCCTGTTGCAGCAGTGAAAGTCTGTGGGTTGTGAACACTCATCTAAAACCATATAATGGTGATATCGATCCTGCTTGTTTTAATCCATAAATGTAGGTTTGGACAGTTCCTTTACTTGAATCTTCTGATTCAGTTTGGTATTATTTTGGGAGCTTCTAGTAAACATTCAGAGACAGATGCATATAGTTCATTGCTATTTGCAGAATAAGGTTAAACTTTGCCTCTCATTTAGTTGCTTTTTTTTTTTTAATCACCCAGTAGTTCTGATTTTCTTTCAGGTATAGGTCAAGAGAGTTAACTAGTAGTTTATGTAAAGGCCAAAAAGTTTAAGAGTAATTACAAAAACTTGATATGATTTGTATTTGTCACTGTAGTGACCACAGGTAGAAGAATCCTGGGCGTTCTTAGGCTGCTTTAAGCTGGACGTTGCAACAGTGCTATATGATCCAGGGCCTGGTTTCCTAGCCTTGTAGATTTCCCAGGGCCATCTCAGAGTTAGACCACTCACTTTCCACGATCTAATTTCAAAGCCAGAATTACCAAGTTTTTAATTTATAGAATATTAGAGAATTCTAGGATTTTATATTCTAGAGTATCTGTGGACTAGTCAAATATCAATATCAGTGTTGAGGGATGTCAGAAACGTTGCTACTAATGACGTTATTTGGTGATTAATGCAGAAGGAGTTTAATGTCTTTGAGGAATAAAATTTAGACATCTTTCTTCACTATAGGGAGTTTTGCCTACCAACACATTCTAGAGGGCTCCATCTGCTGGTCAGTTCCCCTGTTTTTTTGGGCAGTACTAGAAATCTTTTGTATAGACACTGTGTTCTTAGTTTTTTCTTGCTGAAACTGAAGACCCAATTATGTTTTGTTGTGCTGTATTTTAATTCCTATTTTTATCTTGTGTAATTCCACACACTGGTTCCAGTTAAGATATACTATAATTTTATATAAAAGTATGATCATATTTTGTATCTTTCTAGATATTTCACATTTGTTGGCCTTTTTGGCTCCAGCAGCAAAGTTGCCTTCAGGCAATAGTTTACAATAATTTGCTGTTTCCTTACGTGGTAAAAATGATTTTAATAATAGCTGCCAACATTCGATTACTTCCTATGTGCCAGGCACTCAAGTCAGTACATTATCTTATTTGTTCCTCACCACAGTCCTGTGAGGAAGGTAAGTACTATTACATACATTATAGGTTGAAAACTGAAAGAAAGTGTCACATGCCCAAGGCAGTGGAGGTGGGATCGCAGCCCAGGTCCCTCTGATTCAGAGCTTTTACCTTTAACCACTAATAGCTCGTGGCTTTTTATTCTGTAGATAAATATTTGGTTGCTCGCTCTCTCAATGCATTATCTGGTACTTTGTCACCGGAACATCTTTTGCTTGTGTCTCAGCAACTTGGCTTCTTATTCTCTGTGAGAAGCTCTTCTTTTCTTGAAACTATGCGCTTGATCTCTGCAGCATCTCTTTTATCTTCTTCTTTTCATGTTCCTGTCCTGGCTGTTCCTATTCCCACTACTGGAATTTTCCTCTGTCTTTTCTCTTCTGTATTTAGTTCCCTTCACACATATACCGACTCCTGAAGAAATTTCTTCCATTCCTGTGATTTCACCCACCACCATTTCCAATCTCACATCTTCTGAACAGACCTTCTCAGAGGTTCAGCCTGGTATTTTCAGTTGCCTGCTGAAGAGATACACTTGGCTGTGCCAAGGCTTCTCAAACCAACCTATCTAAAATATCTAATCTGTTCCAAACAGTATCTCAAATAGTGTGTTTTCTTTCTCCCAGATTTCTTCTTCCCTGCTTCATGTATTCCCTAATTCACTGAACAGCTCCATTCACAGTTTTCTAAGCTACAAACTTCATAGTCCTGTTCCTCTCTCTAATCAGCTCTTCAGTCTCTCCATAATACATACTGAACGTTTCCTTCCCTTACTTCTACCTTAAAGTTTGTCTTTCAGATCACGTGGTCACTGGCTTCTAGACTGCTCTCCCTATTGTCTCTCTCACACTTCAGTCCATCTTCCCTTCCTGTCATTTTAGGCTTGCAAAACCCATGCTGGATCATGCCATTCCCTTGCTTAACGACTTCCATCTGCGTCCTGTTTTTTGCATCTATATTGCTCAGCCTTTTTTTCCTTCTGTAACAGTTGATGAGTTGTGTTGCATTCAGTGTGCAACATAACGTCCATTTGTGTACTCAGGATTATGTGCAGTTCTGCATTTGGGTGAAGAGTTGTAATGTCACTCTTGTTCTCTCATTCAGAAATTCATGTCAATGCAAATAGTGAGAATCACATTAAAAGGAAAACACTGAATCTATTCTAATTTCAAAAAACTTATTCATAAATCTTAAAATTTAAACTTTTTTGATAAATGATAACCTTCCAAATGAGAGTAGAATCAACTTTAAACTCCTGACAAGATAACCTTAATCTGTTTTACCAGTCTAATTATGTTTTCTAATTATATTTTCCCTAGAGTATAGAATTTAAAATTGTAGATTTTACTCCCTGTGCACATGAGCTTGGCAGCATAGGCAGGGGGAAACCAGTAAAGTGTTCTCTGCCATTCTTTCACTTGTCCAATATCCTATATACCAGATGGACTATCCTTGTTCCTGTTTCCTAAAATACAGTGTTCTCACATCCTGTGCCTTTATGTGTGATATTTATTCTTCTTTTCCTCTTCTTGGTGCTGCACCTTTTACTTATCCTTAAATATTACTTTCCCTGTGAAACCTGCTCCAACCCCCGAGACAGTATTATTTCCCTGAGGAAATAATATTTTCTGTAGCCTTAAATTGATGTATATCAGGGATTGGCAAACTTTTTCTGTAAAGGGCCAGATAATACTTATTTTAGGCTTTGTAGGCCATAAGGTCTCTGTTGTAACCACTCAACACTGTTTTAGCACAGAAGCAACCATAGACAATGTAAACAAATGGATGTATGTAACTGTGTTGCGATAAAACTTTACTTACAGAAACAGGCATTGAGCCGGATTTGGCCCCTGGACCATAGTTTGCTGACTCCTGGTATATACCATGAAATGGGTTGAGAGATCCTCAAGGTCAGGGACTGTGTCTTATCTTTCCCTCTCTCCACTCTCAGTGTCTCATGTTTATTGAATGAATAGCCAGAGAATATTTTATGAACTTGTAAGATCTAGAAAACAGTGTATTCTCTTATATGTTTTTTTTGGTCTCTAGGTAATTCCGTAACTTTGGCAAAAACACCACTCATTCACATAAAC